ACGAATTAGTTGGACATTATTATAGTTGAGATAACTGACGTCGAATGAGAATATTTGGTAACGTAAATAATTGGATCACAGTGTAAACTAATAACTGTGTAATAATTTAGAATTGTTCCCTTCTATTTTTGAATGTTTTGGCTTCTGAAATTATTATACGAAAAGAATATTATTTATTCCATTACAATTTACAAAAATCAGAAAACATCCAAAAATCGATCTGATCGCATTGAATTCTGAGCGATCGATATGTTTGATCGTGTTTCAAATCGATACTGGAATTTTTATGCAATTTTTTGTATTTACTGAAATTTTCTGAACTTTTTGAAGATTTCTGTTCCGTTCGAGTGATTTTGGTATTTACATGGAATACCAGAGTGAACATGAGAATTTCATTTGCATTTAACGGGTGTTAATATTCGCAGATTTCCGTTGCGTTCGAATGGTTTTCAAATCTTTAAATTTCAGGCTCGAATGATTTTAACATTTGTGAATTTCAGTTTCTATCGAGTGACGTTGCTACTCGCAGATTCATAACACAGTGGGGAACGCAATTAAACGGAAGATTTAATTGAATTCGACATTTTTGTCAAACTTTTATGTAACTAGAGTTTTCACTGCAACCGAAATACTGAAATAATAATTATATAGTGTATATCAGAAGAGGAATTACTAAATGAAGAAGCTAAAAACTAGTCGATACTTCAATCAACATTTACTAAGTACCTTTAATCCTCCATTTGCCAGGAAGAATTTTATGCTGTCATTTAAAGCCTCTTCCGTTACGTCTTAAAATAATCTTTAATACCACTTCCTTTTTTTGCAAATTGACCATGATGTAATATTAAATAACTAATTCAAATGTTTCAAATGTTTCAAATTTTTCAAATGTTTCAAATTTTTCCAATTTTTCAAACTTTTCAAATGTTTTAAACTTCTCAAATGTTTCAAATTTTCCAAATTTTTCAAATGTTTCAAGTTTTTCAAATTTCTCAACTGTCTGCAACGGTTCAGAATCGAGAACTTAGATCGAAAAATTGACCTTTATCGATGCTACATTGATACAGCAATGTAATTACATTACGTTGCTTCCCAGCCAGCCATTTCGATATTAACCTTCAAAGGGAGGAATTTCCCACAAAGCAATCGCCGAAAACACTCGGCCGGCGAAACGAGAATTCTTTCAGGATTAAACCGTTGCCCACACGCAGCCGACCCAGGAAATTGCAATTCTTTCGGGTCTCGTGGAATTAGTATGTGCAATATTATAATGTTCCCACTTTTAACTCTGTCGAGGGCACTGTGCTGTAATTGTCGCGTTGCCCTTTTTCCTTGATTTCAACCCGTCTCAAACTGCTACGTCCGTTCGACGTGTTATAAATTGATTTCTAATTTTCACCTTTTTTCACAGATTTTTCCGCGTTTTTCACGTATCGATTTACTTAGAATTCTTTTCAGTTTCTGAAACGTTTCACATTTTTACATTATTTTGCTGCAGTTAATTTAATTCAATTTGATTTAATTTAACTCGTTACAAACTGTTACATACTAAATAACGTAAATAAGCATCGTCAACTGTAAATGACGTATTTTCCTCCATTTTTCATTTTTCTGTCTTAAGTTCATAGTGTCACTAAAGTGTTGCGGTAATTCTCGCACATTTTGAAGCATCCCGTGTATATCGTCCGTTTACATTGTAAACCGAGACGATGACACTTTGCTACGTTAATTAACACAGTTTAGAGAACAGCTATTTAATAGTATCTATTGTTATCTTAAGGCGTACAATGGATGAGATTGGATTACCGAACTCTGAGACACGATTAATTGTGTGATTATGTGATTAAGAAGGACTGCTCTCGTTGGAACGACCGTTTCGTAGTCGGAATATACAGTACTGTCGGAAGGATTAATGTTCGAGTTCATATTAATAGAAGCGTGAACATGTTATTAACCAGCAAACATTTCATTGAAAATCTTCATTCATCATCGTTGAACAATGAATATTCCTATACACGCAATACATAAAAATCTAGACAAAAGTCAAGACAAGTGCAAGACAAACGCACAGTTGTAATACAAAGAGTTTCTCAAATAATTATCATTTAATCGAAGGAATTACTTAATTAATACAATTTAACGTATTAACACTAGAACTACTGTAACAGTCAAAATGACTGGTTTCGATTTTTTGTTTAGCAATTATTGATATTTTCAAAGCATTGAATATTCGAAATGATTTTGAAACTAAATAGTTGAATGTCTGAAGAAACTGAAAGTAATCTATTGTTACAATTTTTATAGGAATTGCATATTAGTCGTATTAAATGCTGGTAGTTCCAGTGTTAACCATAGAACTACCTGCCTTTAAAAACGGAAATGATCTCCAATTACATTTAAAAGATGTTAATTCACTAATCAGACTCAGTTCTAGTTCCCAGTGCCAACATCGATAGTTTACGGTGAAAATTCCGAATCCATTTTTATTATCGGCGTTATCACTGTATATCCTCGTATTCTATACATCCATCCCTGATAATCCGAAGCAAACATCGGCCGTCCGTTTCGGATAGAAAGCCGTCGCTAAAAATATCCTCGTTGACAGCCGTGTCCTTTCGCCGGAGGACCGCATGAATTGCAAAACTCGGAAGCAGGTGTCGCGGACGTCCTAGTTCGAGGAGCCCGCGTCCGAGACTAAATGTCTCGATGACAAAACGGTTAAAATCGATACGTAATGCATACATACATACGTGTATATACGTGTATGTATATACATATATGTATATATCATGTGCATATAACTTCTATGACACTGTGTATAATATATCCACTAATATATCTGCAGTACGCAGTACTATACGAGCTCATTTTGTAAATTGCATAAATCGATTTTTCGGAAAAATTAAGCTAGTGATTGCAGTAGTTGCAATGCTATGTTATCCGTTCATTTTTAGCAGCTTTTTCTAATGATCTTGAGCCTTTGCGGACGAACGTCATTTCGACGAGAAGGAAAACATTTTAATCATTCCTTCTATTCTCATAAGTGACAGTCACATCGTGATTCATAAAAACACGTGGTTAGCCTCAAACATGACAAAATAGAGTACTTAAAATAAACATCTCAATTAATATCACTAACAACAACATAATATCAATTTTCAACTAATCCCAAGAACATTCCACAAAAGTCTCTCCCCTGTAGAACCCGGTAATAGTTGAGCCATTGTTCTGAACCACTCAATACAGTATCTACTATATATAATCTATCTATCTAGAATATATCTACCGGTACATATATTATTCACAGCACTATACATATGAAACCGTACGTATAACACAGCGTGCACACAAATATAAATCCGTATCCCCGTGACCCGGTCGTTATTGTCTGATAATGAACCGGGACGAAAGTAACGTGGCAAGCAGCAACGTTCTCTTTCCTGTCCCCGCTCATGAATTTCCGACAACGATGATTCGCGGGAAAATGGAGGTCACGATCCGCCGGTGTGTCCTCGACCGTACAACTTTCTTCCTTTCTTCTCTTCCTTTCGTTCTTTCCCCGTGGGTTCGAGTGTTACTCGAACTCCCGCCGGAATTTTTTCGCGAGCGATCCCTGCGACGAGGAGATACCGCATCGAGAACTTTGCCGGTAGATTTATGGTCCGCGTCAGCCTCACGGATTTTTTTCGCTGATTTCTTACCATTCGCTTTTTCTCCGCTCGATTCCGACCCCACGATTTTCGTTAGAATTATAGTGGTTACTGTATTATAGATGGTGAAAGAATGGATCTTGAGTAATCGAGAACTAGGAATAAATATACGTGGGAATGGATGTGTTTGAGTGTGCGAATAGATATATCGATGAATGATGAATGTGTGTGCAATAGATGAATGACGCGACTGTGTGTCGCGTTTTGAATGAATGTTAAAAGCGTTGGAATATTCTAGATTATATTGATTTTTATGTTAATAATGTTCGTTTTTATGAATCTAGAATATTCCAAATATATGTGAAGTCAATGCATGGCAATGAAAGAATGTTCTAGAAAGTTCAAAGGGTTAATAAAGAAGCAAGCGTTTACTATTATTCAGAATATTATTCTCAACTGGTTAAATAATATAATTCTTCCCTCTCGTTTGTTGTATTCGTACGTTGAAACTGTAATGATGAGGAATGTTTAAAAATACTGAATCGATGCACCGAATATCGCAGGGAATATAGAAGTATTAGGTTTCCGGGGCGCGCCATTTTTTCGGTCGCGTCAAAACAGTCGATCGATGCTTTTGGAAGGTAAATCCCGCCACATTGCGTGGCTGCTTCGCCGGCCTGCCATCTTTTTGACACGCCATTCTTTTCATGAAAATCAACGAGACAGGTACATACAGCCTGCGCCCGGCCGAGTAAGAAACTCGTAGAGGGATGAAGAAGGAAGGCTAATGGGTTTCAGCGATGTAAAGTTTGCGAGACAGACAGTGTCACGAGTGCACATGTGTACATAGGTGTATGTGTTTACATGTACAGACCGTGTACATCACATTCCGAGCCTCGTGTGTAGACACCTCAATTTTTGCTTCTATAGATTTCGTAAATGAAATCAAATAAAATAGGTTTACTATATTATAAGCCTTCACGTGTGGATATTTAAATTTTTATTATATATTTCGTAAATAAAATCAAATAAAATAGGTTTAATACATTGTAAGTCTCCGTAAAAAGTGTAACAAACTGCCTGTTCTATTAAATGTAAAATAATTATCTTCTGGTATATGTAAAGACCGTTGACTGATTTTTTAGATGAAAAAGGTTTGTATCAATCCAGTTTGAATTATTAAATTATTGAAAACAGACATAGTAAAATTTTCTACTCGACAGACTTTCTTACTGTTATATTTCAGTTAATAAAGAAGATAAAGTTTTTATCATTCGAATTTATGTTGTTACATTATGCTCACTGAGAAACCAGTGTAACAGATATTTATTATCCAATCTTTGTTTCCAGGTTCATGGTGGTATTGGTGTGCCTCATATTTAGTGTTTTGTCAACCATAGACCAGTACAGTAATTTCGCGAACGAAACGCTGTTTTGGATGGTAAGTAACCCCATTTCATCTAATTTTATTTTTAAAACAGTACTAGTACTTATTTAACCCTTTGCGGACGAATGTCGACACTCTGACGAGGTCAAACTTTCATATTTGTAAAACTAAGTTGCAAATAAACAATTTAACTATTGAAACAGCGAAATATCAGTCCGTTTTCTTTTTTCCTCTATTATTTAAACATTCGATGTGTAATTCGACAGGATCTGCCTTGGGTTTTGTATACTATAAATAATCTTCGTCCGCAAAGGGTTAAAATACTTATACTACTCTTGAACCAATTTTTCAAACATATAAATGCACAAAAATCTGCGATCCAATTATCAATCAATACACTTCGAAGTAAAGATAGAAATATACATTGTAGTATCCAATAGAAAAACGCTACTGATTCCAAGTTAACGCAATTGTTTTGGACATCGATTGTTTACTCTCGACGTTTCGAAACCGAATTTTACACTCGATTCACTGAACCCGTGAATTTGACGGATATAGAATGTTTTAAACATTACTGAGCACTTAATCTTTATGACTCCCTTGAATGACAAGAATCATTATGACAGTCATCGGTCATACGACTAAGTTCCGTGTACAAAATTCCTGCAATTCCCAATTGAGAAGCTGACATAATAATTAGTGTCCCTTTACCAGATTACTTTTAATTAATATTCGTTGAATCAACAAAATGTTTGAATCATAAAATGGAACACGTTTTCTTCGACAAAAATGAAATGCGTCTGTCGCGCATAATTTTCGACGATTAAATCGTACCGGAAACGGTTAACCTAATTTAATCTTTCGAGTCTGAATCAGTTGGCATCGCGAAGGGTTAAACTCGGTCTCGCGTTCAACGCGAAACGAACCTCGACTTGAAAGGGCCACAAAATCAAGGAACACGATCTCCTTCATTTGAAAGCTGCAGCTGGCTTTTAACGTTTCATTGAACACCGCGAACTTTCACGAAGATCCCGAGCAAATTGCGTTCCGCTTCATTCTTTTATTGGACGCAACCGGTGGCCAGCCGCAACCGGAATATTGATGCTGTTCCAAACTTTCGGAAATGCCGTCTACCCTTTTCATATCGTTATCGAGCAAACGATTGTTCCGACGAAAACAGACGTTTCGGGAAATGCCGCTCCTTAAGGCTAGAACTACCGAGCATTTAATACGATTAATATGCAATTTCTATAAAAATTGTAACAATACATTATTTTCAGTTTCTTCGGGCACTCGTTATAGTACTGAGATGAAACTATTTATTTTCAAAATCATTTCGAATATTCAATGCTTCGAAGATATCGATAATTGCCAAACAAAAAAATCGAAACCAGTCATTTTGACTGGTAAACTTTAACCTTTTGCGCTCCTATGTCGAATACGACTCGACATCAGTTTTATTCGCAGCTGTGCTTTGCCAAGATATTTTTCAAATAGATTATATTATTATGTTACTGTTCTCTACAAACTATCTATTTTTTAAACGCATTTCAAATCAATTATCGTAATAACAGTTATCGAGGAAACAATGCAAAAGAAATTCAGAGTGCACAGGGTTAACACGATGAATGCCATGGGTCACCGGTGACCCCAACGTAATTGAATTACTATAGTTCACTGAATTAAACGATTATTTACCCGATGCGGCGATGTTCAGCTGAATGAACATGTAATAATAACGCAATTCATTCGAATGATCGAATATAGCTTTTCCATTTCGTGTATTTTGCTCTATAAAATCTTTGCTTTATAAAATTAGTTTGTCGACTATGAACGAAATAATGAGTCCCAGAGCGCAATTAGAAATAAAAATGGTTTGGCAGTTTTGGAAGGTTCCCTCGAACCTCGGATAAGAGACATAATCGGCGAAAGCGAGCTGTTTAGCGGGACGCGAAAGAAATACCGAGTAAATGAAGGACTTAAAAACCGTCGGGAAAAAAGTTGAATCGTCGGAAAAATTGAAGGAAAATTGAATTATAAAGAGGAATCCCGAAGGATTTCTGTGGACTGAAGGTGAACGCGTGCGTTTCGGCAAAGAAAGTGGAGAATTTTATTGGGAATCGCGCATATAATCTCGCCGCTGTACACGTGTACGGCTCAAAGACAGTTATTAAAATCTTTATACGATAACGCGAGCCAGTGGACGTAATAACTTTCCACGGGAAAATTCATTTCCACGGCAGCTAGAACTCAGAACCGCGGCGAAACTTTATAATTAATTTTTAATCTCGCTACAAAGCTTTCGAGTTCATTTTTTTAGTTGAATTCGATAACAGTGGACGCAGTCGCGTGGCTTGTTGAGTACGGAGCTTTATATAACAATATATATAATATATATATATTATAGATTGTACTGTTATCTAACGAGATTTATTAAAATCATTTAAAATTAAAAGCCGAGGAGAGGAATTTTATTAGTCGAATTTTAAATTTTCTGCAAATTTATTGGGAAGTGGGTTTAGCTTGAATTTATAGAGCATTTAATACAGGTAATGTATTATTCATTAGGCAATGTATTATTAATTACCGTTATATATTGTTACAAATAAATGTTATATATAAAACAAAATATAAAACGTCGATTCGATCTATTCATACATGAAAACAATAGTAAACAAGGAAATTACTGAACACCGAAACTACTAGAATATTCAAAAGACGCCAATAGTCGAGTAGAAATTCTAATGAAGCACTCGCGATCAACTTCGACAGTTATCGTGGAAATATTTTGAAAGTTTATTGCGTCCGGAAACAAGGGCACCGCGTGGGTTCGCGAATCATTATGCAAATGCCTGGAAAGGAAGAATGCGAGGAAATTTAGGGTGCCGCGAGGAGAATGTCGATCATCCCCGCGACCCTTTCCGAAAGCTCTTCCGTGTGTGCTCTCGTCCATCGTCGGGTGAACCATAGCTTTCGCTTATGTGCCTCGGGCACACACACCGTGGCAAGCTTTCTACGCACATATTACAAGGTTTGACAAATTGGCAGTTTCCCTCTAATAATACAGCCAGCCCGGCTTCCTTCCGGCTTCCCTCTACGTGACAGCCGAAAAATGCCATCGAGACACCAGCCATTAAGGCAGTTCCTTTTGAGGAACAAGCCTTTTGAAGTTTTCCTCGCCGATAATTTCTCCCGTGACGTTGACGAACTATCAATCGCCGCGTGAGAAAGGAAATTTCGTTGAAATCAAATCAACCCTTAGCACTTCGGATGGTATCGTAACCTATCGGCAACTGCAATTAATTTTTGTAGTATTATTTTATACCACCGGTGGCTCACAGTAAGATGTCACGTTAGAGAATGTGTAATTTGTTTTTGTCAAAATAGAAAATCGTTTCAGTTTCTGAATTGAAACTGCAGGTTCATTAATTTTTTTGATTTTATCAGTCAATTATAATTGAAGTATCATTACATTAGGTTGGTAACCGATTGTTAGGAGTCAGTCGAAAATGGTATTGCTGCAGAAACGTAACTTCAAGCTTGTTCATGTTCGAGTGAAACAGGAAATTCGTTTTTTTGCAGAAGGATTGTACTTCGAGAGAAAAATGCTCGTCCAAATATTACATGTCGACAGCGGGAAAAATTTGACAGGCTGACTGAAATATCTAATTCATCCGGGGTACAGAGCAGATGGTGTTCCAACTGCTTGGGTGCAAAATATTTGTTTAAATTTACAAACTTTCCGAGTGGGAGTCGATTTAAAAAGATCTCAGAGTTTTGAATCTGTTGAAAACTGTAAAAAATCTGTAAAAAAATATTTTAATTCAAAACCAGTCAACTATCGCAGAACATCAATTGAAATTGCAATTCAACGAAGCATCGTACATTAATGATACAACACGAATAAACAATCACATTTAAGAGAAACGAAGGTCACTTCTTGAATCATCAAGCTAATAATTCGTCAGCTACGGGCGCCGCGCGTCTGACGTAATCCGGGCGATGATTTGGAACATGGCGGACGGCTCGAAGCCGAATAATTTGTGGGGCAGCGCGACGATGTCGAACGAATTAGAAAAAGAGAGTGAAAAGCACGAGAACCGTCACGGAATGCCCAACGTCGCGATTCTGTCATCGATGTTCCCATTTTTCCAGGGCATCGTAGCGTTACAATAAAGGTCATACAATCGATATAGCGTCCCTATATACCGTCTAGCTCGTCGCGCATTTATTTTAAGAACCGGGAATTAATGACTGCGCTACCATTGAAAGTCATCGCTGGAATGCTTTTCCTGCTATTA